GCTTGCACGAAGAATTCGAACACCGAAGAGTCCCCAACTTAGGTGGCGACGAAGCCCAAGCAACGAGCAATCTGACCAACTGGTAGGCAATGAAGCGAGCACCGAGCAGCCCAACCAACTGGTCAGTGGCGAAGTGAGCGCCGAGTAGAAGAGAGCGCCGAACAGTCTGACCAACTGGTCGACAACGAAGTTCAGGAACCTAGCGGTCCGACCAGTTGATCGGCGGAGAAGTCCGACTGTCAGGTGGTGCGATCACCCGGACGATGATCCTTTTGTCGTTCCCGGGTGATCCGGTCCCTAAGCGCAAAAAAATTAAGCTCGTTGAATGAACTAGGCCCAGCAATACAAACATGTAGAACGGGTAGTACATGATGTAAAAATAAAATATATGAACTTCGCTGATGAAGGCAGCAGAGGAGAATAGATAAACATTATGTTTGTTTGAAGTCATATTTTAAATATGAGTAATTTTCTTCCAGTTGGTTCTGTATCACATCACCAGCTCCAACTACACTACTACATAATTCTTATTGGAGACGGGCATTTCAGATTAATGGAGGCGGGCAACGCAACCGCCTCCATTCAAAGGCCTCGGTAAATCATGTGAACTGCCGAGGCGGTTGATATGTCCGCCTCGGTTAACCAATTAAAAAATAAAAAAATCAGCAAGCCTGTCGGTGAGGCCCGTTGAGCCCATCGACGAGCCCGCCTAGCCCATCCGCGCATGCGGCGCCGCCACCACCTGTCGGATTCGCGCATGAGCCACCGCCGCTTGCCACGCGCCGGATCCGCAGCTCCCGAGCGCGAGCATGCCGTGTCGCGCCGTTGAAGCCTCGCGTCGCACCACTGAGCCGGATTTGGCCCCAAGCGCGAGCCTGCCACGCCGACCGAGATAGGGTGTCCTCACCGCATCGCCAGAGGGCCGGATCGAGTGCTCCGCCGTGGATCCGAGGGAGGAAGGGAGCACCATCGTGGATACAAGCAAAGGAAGGGAGCGTCGCGCCACCATGGATCACGTAGATCCCGCCGCCGGGAGAGGTCCACCGCCACACGCCGCCTCGGATCTGCCTTGATATCTGCCTCTACCATAGGGATCCGGCCTTGATCCCCACGGAGGGATCGAGCACCGCCCGCCGCATGGGATCCCGCAGATCCCCCCGCTCGGGGAGGGAGAGAGTCACCGGGAGAGCTCGCCGCCGAGAGGGGACGAGAGAGGTCCACCACCACCCTATGCCGCCCGGATCTGCCCTATACCATAGGGATTCGGCATCTGGCGAGAGAGAGGTCCTTTGGTCACGCCATTTTAGCCATAACGGCCACCGCTACCAAATCGATTTATGAAGGCGGGACATCTTAAGAGGAGGGAGGGAGGGAGGGAAGGCGCGCCGGCCTGCTACATGGGGGAGGAGGCGCGCCGGGAATAAAAAGTGCCCGCCTCGCCAATCATATTTGATTAACCGCGTGGAGTGAGGGAGGGAGAGCAAAATCATTTGCGGAGAGAGAGGGGACGAGCGTGCGGCGCGTCGAGAGGAGCGAGCGGCGCGTCGGGAGGACCGAGCGGTGCGAGCTGAGGGAGTGAGGGGTTGGAAGGCCTATCTCCCCAATTTATATGAGCCCAGAAAATGGAGAGTGGGACATCGTGGGCTTTGGCTTAAAGGGAAATCCATCGGAGATTTTAGGAGGCGTGGCGAAATTGGCTATTTATCTTTAGTCGAGCGCCCGGTCCTCCATACGATGTTATTATGACGTTATCTATGGATCGACGGACATCTTAAGACCTCGAGCTTTCCTCCTGTCGTCGGCGGTCGCGGTTGTCATAGCGCGGTCGTTCTTAATCATTGCCCAGCCTTGCCATGAATGGGTCGATTTTACGGCTCGGCCCAAAAACAAACGTGCCCACCTCGGTAAATAAAAAGTGCCGTACGTCTCCTGTTTGCTGGTTAATCTTTGATGGAGATCTTGTCATCGTATCCTAATTTGGCTTGCGTCTTGGTATTGTACATGTTGATTGCCTCCGTCCGAAAAAAGGCACTGCTTGTTGGTTGGCTTGCAAAATCATTTGTGTGCCAGTAGTGCTAGCCCCCTGATACCCTCGGATAGCGACCCTGAGACCAATCTGGTAATGTGAACGCGGTGGCACCCATTTAGCGCGGGATCAGAACGACAGCATGCACCTCCCCAACGACGAACTTGTACGCGTTCGTAGAGAAGATCTTGAAGTCTATCTGGTTCTCTGGTTCACTATGAGATCAGCACGCACGCCTCCCATAACGCAGAGAGCTGGTGCACCGTGGGATATACCCACGATGGTAGGTGTTTGGTAGATCGAGAACAGGGTAACAGAGACATAAGATAACACGAATAAGAACGTGGCTGGTCGACGAGTTGGTGGAGAAAAAATGGAGTGTCTTAAAGACATTACGCCATGGAGAACGATCGGAGTATCTTAAAGATATTAGAGAAAAGTCATGACGAAAATTGTATTAAATACAGATATAGGAAGGGTATTTATCTCTAGTCAGATAGTCTGGTCGGGGCATACGATGTTATTATGACGTTATTTGGTCGGCATCGACGAAATTACCCGGCCCTCGAGCTTTCTGGCCTGTCGTCATGGCGGCGGTCGCGGTTATCATAGTGCCGTTCTTTGCGGCGATCATCATTGCAATACAGCACGGCTTGCTTACGACTTGGGCGGCTCGTTTGATGGGTCGGACGGCTCGCTTGGCGGGTCGGACGGCTCGCTTCGCGTTGGAGTCGGATCCCAAAAGTACAAACGAGTGGCCAAGGAAATTATTTCCGTATGCCGTGTATGCATGTTTACATGCAAATTTTCGTCCGTACGTCTCCTGTTTGCTGGTTAGCGCATGAAATCTTTGATGGAGATCTTGTCGTCGTATCCTAATTTGGCTTGCACGTCTTCTCGTATGTACGTGAGGCATGTACAAGTTGATTGGCTTGGCTTGCATGTCCGATGACGAGTAGTCTGCGTCCTGAGTAGCCGCCTCCCCTCTGATCCCACGCGCAGGGCGTGGCCCTTGGTGGCTGCTCTGCTTGTTGGTTGGCAATGCTCGGCTACATAGACACCAGACCAAAATCCATACGATCTTGATGCCATGGGACAGCGTCGACTGCAGGTGCCCTGAATTCCACTCGGAGGTGGAGACCCTGAGACCGATCTGGTAATGTGAACGCGGTGAAGCATCGCTACTCCGTCTAGAACGTGCTGTTGATCTTGAAGTCCATCTAGTTCGCTATGGGATCATTACGCACGTCTCTACCTGGCGCGCTAACTGTTGACGGAATATCGTCGATAGTCCACCGAGAGATATATCCATGATAGTAGATTGTTTGGTAGAGATACGCGTGATCAAAAACTAGATGGTAACAGAGACACAAGACACAAGATTTATACAGGTTCGGGCCGTCAAGATGACGTAAAATCTTACGTCGTGTGCTCTGTTGGTTTGTATTGATGAGAAAACCCTAGGCTAAGCCCAGGATTTGTATCTAGGTCTGAATGTCCATGGAGACTAGGGGACATCTGTCCCTCCTTATATACTCTGGAGGAGTAGGATTACAAAAAAAGTATCATAATCGGCTATATGGTAGGTATTCTATTTGGATTACAATATCTATGAGTCCTAATAAATCATATCTTCAAGATATCTTCTAGATGTCTTGCGGTGCACGTCGACCAGTGCCGTGTGTCGTACGCCTTGATCTTGTGGGCTGGACCACTCCTGATGATGCGGTCCATGTCTCTTACCGTGGTACCTGGGGTTATATCACCACAATCCTCCAGAAGCATACTTCACAAGTTTCGTGTTGTGGCATCACAATGGTTGGCACAAACGGTCATGGTGTTTTTCACATGGAAAGGCAATCTAGTCCTTAGGATTAATAGTCATTAAAGTGGCAGACTCTTCTTTTATTTGCTTAGTTTGGGCTGTGTGATAATTGTGAATTAATAAAATCCTTCATTTTATAAAAAAAATACCAATCATTCTACGGCTTCTACTTGGTATTTGGTTCGACATGATCACCTTGAGCGGTAGGTAAAGAGGCGGCTGTGGCCTCAAAGAATGTATTGGCAGTCGCCACCAGTAGTCGGGCCTAATAGGGCCACTTTCACCAGTACCAGTAGAGGCGGTGGATCTCAGCGTCTAACAACAACCTTATTGCACTCACTATACGGTCACTTGCCCACTTGGCTAGCCATTCCACCTATTGGGGAGGTGAGGCTTGGCTTAAGAGGAAGGAGGCAACCATGAGACTGTGATGCTTGTCAACAACTCGAAGGAGAGAAGGTGTGCGATAAAATATTGGGTGAGGGAGTTGAGAAACCCTCATGGTTAGACACGGATCCTAATTTATCTCCGTTCTGCGGCTGGTCAGAGATTAATGCTTCATGGCCATTACTAGTCAAGTCGCCGCATCAATATGACCACAGCCAAAGCCGTTATGGTCCCAATGGGATTCTGAACGGCACCTGACCCTACCCTCCAGAGCGTGCCGTGGGCAACGGGGGTGACAGGCACTAACCGCACTTACGAAGTGCGCAAGTATATATAAATATAAATATATAATATAAAAACTAAAGTGTAGCACATGTTATATATATATACTACCTCTCTCCCAAAATAGAAGTAACTATAGATGCGTGATGATCAACATTTATCAACTTTGACTAAATTTATAGAAAATATTAACAATATTTATATCTTTAAATAAATTTACTATAAAAACATATTCAGCAATTTATCTAATAACATCAATTATGCACCATAAATATTAATAATTTTAAAAATATATTTGGTTAAAGTTAAAAGTATTTGATTTCTCACTAAGTGAGAATGATATCTATTTTGAAATAGAGGGAGTACACATATTAGATATACAAACAAGTATGCCTACCTGCAAGTAGTAAACTGGCGGGACCGGCAAATAAAGAATGAAACTGAATCAACTGATTAATATCTAGACAGCAACACACGTACCTGAAGGCTTCTATGAAGATAATCACCATGGCGAACCAGAAATCCGTTGGTTTTAGATCGGAGCAGAAGCCGCCGAGCAAGACGCCGGTCGCCCAGAGGAAGGCCAGCGCGCCGAAAGCGTTTCCCGCCCACTCCCAGAAGGCAACAGCTCGCACGAAGCGGTTCAGCGTCCGCTCCCTCTGCTGCAGCTCACCACCTGCTCCAACGTCCGCGGCCGCAGCAGGAATTTGGACAGAAACCTCGCCGGCGGCATGGACTCCTGCCGGTGTCGTCGCCATTGTTCGTGTCGCCTTGCCCCGAAAAATGGTTGCCCGACAACTATAAATAAAAAGGGCAAAACAGCACCGAGCCTGGGAGATTCGTACCTAGCCTCATCAGCAAGTCAGCACTGGCATGTTCGGCTGGTATTAAAATCAGCTGATAAGTTGGTTGCAGCTGTTTTGTTGTAAGAGAAAAATACTATAGATTTTAGCTGATAAACCGGCTGATAAGTTCAAGCGAACATGCCTCTTTTTTTTAAAAAACGCAAGAGAGGTACACTTTGTTGTATTAGAGAAGAAAAATAGTCTCATTTAGAGGAATTAAAATCTACTTAATAAATTAGACTATCTAGTTTATAATTTAACATTTCACCACTTTCCAAAGTTCTCATATAAGTCTATTTCAAATTCATAGGATGGAAGATAAAATTGATTCTATAGATCAACATTCTAGGTTTCTACCTTACAACTTATAACACGCTCTTTAACTCGCTCCCCAACGATAGAAATGCAACACATAAGTATCTCTCCCATATATCCAACAATAATATACAAATATACTCCATATGTCCTGTAATATAGTGCATTCTACAAATTTTAAGACAAATGAAGAGAGAATATAAAAGACGCATGTATCCCGTTTTATTTTCTAATTAGATGCTATCACCAACATGATTAATGGTGATTGGTTGATAAATAGAAAGTATTTAATGCCAAACTGATTTTATCCTCCACGATGCATATATTTGAGGACAAAATTTTGAATACTATAATGCACTATTTACAGGACGGGGGAGTAATCCTTATACAATCATATTAGCTTAATTAATATATGTATAAATTACGATTATAAAAATAAATTCAATTCTAATGATCTAAACGGGGTCTCATACAATCCACTTATCTCAGACAAGGACCAATATGAGAGGTGGTTTGAGCATTAAAATAAAGACAAAAAACTTGAGCAAGAAAAACAACGCGACCTGACCAAAGCTACAAAGAAAACTACGATTCTACCACCAAGCTTTAAACCCTGCAGCTTCTTGGCTCCGGCTTGGCATGCACCAGAGACTATGTTCATCTTTGAACTCCCTCATAATTGATGTTATCGGAGGTGCAGCACCCTCGAAGGCATGCATTTCTATGCTTTCAGATAATCCAAGCACCCAAGATTACTAGAGAATCCACTCCCCTTCTAAACTCTTTCTTCACCTTTTTCATTGTCTTGCGCTACCAATTGGCATAGTTACCTTCATTCTATCTAGGAACAGAACCAGCTAGACCAATTGGAGCAAACAATCTGAACCAGAATTCTCTTGCCACTACACACGTTGTTAGGAGGTGTTGTATTGATTAATCTTCTTGATCGCAAAGGGGGCACTTATGTGGATGAGAGAGTCCCCTCTTAGCAAGCCTGTCCGCTATCCAACATCTATTGCGGATCGCTAACCAGAGAAAATTTTTGCATTTTGTCAGGGCTCGAGAATTCAACAACCGGCGCCAAGGTCCAAAGGTCACTAATCTATAAAAATAAGCTCTGTACACAGACTTGGAAGAAAAAAAAAACGAAAGCATCAAATCTCCAGACACGACGATCATCTTGAAGACAGGCTAAACGAGCAGAGCAGCAAGGAGCCATGGAGGCTGCAGGCTTGGCCTCGGCAGTCGGCATTGGACAACAATGCCCGCGGGAGAAGATAAAGCATTGGACAATGTCAAACTGTCAGATAGATCCTCGTGGAGTCGTAAATGTACTCATTTTTTTTATTGAGGTACACAGGTAAATTCATGTTTGCAGCTGTTACTCGGGTGTAAGTGCGAACTTCGTCGGAAGAACTCAGACCTCAATTCTGATCCGTATGTCCGGCAATGGCCAGAGAGGGCGCAGGCTCACCCTCGCCCCGGCGGCATGTCGAGCGCTACGTCCGTTGGCTCAGTCCATGGAGGCTGGTGGGGAAGACGATGAGGAAGCAGATGATCATAGTTGCAAGGAGGGCTGCGCGGCATTGTCGCGGGTTGTGGCCTTGGCAGCCGACGCGTGCGTCCGACCGAAACCCATCCACGGTGTTTCATCTTCCACTGCCATTCCTTTCAAGTTTTGGATGCAGGATGACGACTCCGATCTGGACGAGGAGGATGGCCATGGGGAGCCGCCGTTGGCCGATGTCACCGGTAAACGCGTCGTACCACCTACAACCGACGATGAACCGTCTACACCTGAGTTCATCAAAGAGGCTCTGGAGGCGGGGTTCACGCTCGAGCTTTTGTCTTCAATTCAGGTAGTACTCCTTCATCTTCTGATCTCAAGTTAGCAAATTCGATTGTTTCAAAGATGGTGGAGAGAAAAAACGATGGTAAGCCATGGCAAGGGCCACTGCCTCCTCCTCGTGTCTCACCGCCGAGGACCTTTGGCGACGCTCTTGCTGCGGCAACTTACCAGAGGAGATCCAGCTCTCACCGGAGGCCGACGAGGACGTCTAGACCGGTTGGTTCACCGGCGAGGTCCGGCCCGGCGGGGAAGACAACGAATTCAAATTATTTTGAATCACCGAAATTTCAGGATCTTGATCCACTCTTTCCTCCGCTTCCACGTACGATGCTACCGGCTTCGGCTGCGTGCGTCACGACGGGTGCGATAGAGAAGTCGGCTCAAGGGTTTCCTGGACTGGCAGAGCATGTGGTACTTGGGCCCGGAAAGATTTTTCGGCCCACCATTGGTTTACGTGCGTTTTTTAGGCGCACAGGAACCCGAGTCATTCACAAACACAGAGTCCCACCTAAGACGCCGCCATCTCCTTCTACGACGCCGACTCGACCCTCGTTCGCGGAGGTTGTACGTGAAGGAAAATCAATGGCGGCGCCGGGAGCGGGTTCTGGTGGCGATCTCGGTGGGCGTGGAGGTGGCAGGGGTGTGGCCTTCAACCCCGGTTTTCAACCAGGTTTCGACCCAGGGTTTGCCGGCGAGGTCGCGGCCGCGATCAGTTTCACCCTCGTGGACGAGGACGAGGCTATGGAGGGCAAGCCGGCTATGGCTACAACAACTCCGGGCCCGGCTACTGGACGTGGTGGTCGGCCTCAAGGCGGAGGGTACAGAGGTGAACGTGGCCGTGGGGGCTAGAACCCTAGACCACGGTACCAACCAGCACCGATGCAGGGGCCTATCAACGCAGGTGGCCAGAACACCGTCGCACAGACGGGACCCCCCTAGCTTCGACAATCCAGGAAGGGGGGCCGGCACATGCTGCTCCAAACCCGGCATCATCATCGGGGCCAGTGCACCAGGCTGCTTCGACGACGACCACGACTAAGACAACGCTGCCAATTCCTAAAAGTCTCAACACCGACACTGCCCCGCCAGGATCAAACACTGTAGGAGTCTTGATTGATGTGCCAGAGTCATCCCAAAAGGGAGGGAATCATAAAAGCAAGGGTAAACCATATTGCTATCGTTGTCACACTAAAGGGCATACGATGTAGGTTTGTACTGCTGTGCTTTGTTGCAAGATTTGTTTTGGTGATCATGTTAAAAAAGTATGTCCAAATTTGAAGAATTTACAAGCTACTGCTATACCATGTGGATATGCTGTAGAAGGTCTGGGCTTCTATTTTATACCTGTCATTGAAAAACCAAAATTACCTTCAGATGACAAGTCCGCCGTGGTACGTGTTTTGGAGGGTTCTCTTACTGCTGACCAGTTAGCAGTGGAACTTGATAAACTACTGCCTAGACATAGTTGGGTGATTGAAGAGAAAGTCAATGATGCCTTTATCACTAATTTCCCTTCTGCTGAAGTGCTTAATCACATGGTGAATTGGGGCCCAATGGACACAAAGACAGTGAAAGGAAAGATTCGGTTCGAGAAAGGGGCTGAAAATTATGTCTTTAAGTATGAGATTGACAAAGTATGGGTGCAATTCCGGGGTCTTCCAAAAGAGCTACGAGAATTTCCCATCATTTGGGCAATTGGCTCAATTTTGGGTGTTCCTCGTGCAGTGGACACTAAATTCACTAAGAAGAATGGAAGAGCCAGACTGAAAGTGGCAGTGCTTAATCCTGACCTCATCCCTGACCTTGTGGATGTTGTCATTGGGGATTTTGTTTATGAGCTACAATTCAGAGTTGAAAAAGATATGCCTGATGGTGAGTCCCAGGTCATTGACATGGACTCTACCATGGATGAGGACAAAGCCCCAGAAGAAAAGGAACCGGAGAATATGGATCATGATGCTAACAAAACAACAGATGATCCAGCTAGTAAAGCACCTGGTAAACAGACCAATGCTTTAGTTGCACCAAGTGGGCAGCACAAGTCCAAGGCTGTAACAGGAGCATCCACTGAGAGCATGGTCATGGCAGCTAAGCTTGCAGGAGCCGCTGGCGTCCAGCAGGATTTGGCGGCTACTGTAGGTACAGTACTCCAGCATTCAAACTTGGAAGTTACAGAATCCGCTTCAGTGGGAGAGAAGAGTACATACAAGCCTGTAGTACTGCTCTCTCCGTGTGGGATGATTCCAGATGGTTCGGCACAGTGGAAAGCTAGTTTGTTGCAGTCTAAAACTTTGAACGGTGGGGCAGTGTCACCAGTTAGAACTAGTAAGAGAAACGTGTCTACTTCGGACCAAGACTCTTTGAAGAAGGCGATGAAATTAAAAGCACGCAAAAACTTGAATGCATCTTCAGTCAAAGGTAACGAGACTTTGCCACACTCTTTTGATATTCTCGATGATTCTATGTTGCTGCATACAACTAGCTCGTTAGAAATCTCTCTCGGCTCTAATGAACAAGAAGTGTCTCTTTCTTTGAAAAGTTTAAGAGATATTGAATTCGCTAGAATATCAGCAAACAATAGTTTAGAGGAAAAAAGTAAAGCTATGTTGGACGATACTTCCACTGTTTGTTCCTTAGAAGAAAACATGGACCTAGAGGCTTTAAATTTAATTTGTGTAGAAATTTCTAAAGACCTAGGTGAGGGGGGCTGTAACCCTTTGTGTCTACAGACCCCTATATCACATTCCAA